AGAACGCAGTCGGTCTGTTGGGTAAAAAGGGTTACTCGTTTTCAGAAAAGTCTTGTAGTATAAAAAAAAATTGACGGAAATGAACATCAGTATTTTTTATACTGGATTTGTTGATAAGGTCAGCTACATTCGGTCATGTAGACTAGCTGATGACTGGTGTAATACCAAAGTAAGAAAATTGAAAGTCTCGGCCCAATATTCCATGATGCGTACTACTCAAGACTTCTGAGCTACATCTGCTGAATTGGCACAGAACTATTTCACTGAATGATGCCAGTTCACGTGTTCTAATGATATTAGGTGTTCCACTGTGAAATTGTTTTCGAATGCCGATCTTGTACTGGATGCTGATGCATACAACTGCATCATTTTCATCAAATTCAGTTTTTTATTATGGAAAATAGCTTAGCAAGACTTCGCTTATCAAATCCCATACGGTGTTCACACTTGGGGTTCCGAACACGATTCACAAGATCACAGTTAGTCCATATACGTAAAATAGTAATGTAATATCTTTGACGAGCGTAGGAGAATATATTATGTAGTTGGGTGTTGAAACATATTGTTCGACAGCATCATCAAGCTGACGCTTGAAAGATACTAATGTTATCGCACAGACCACATGGGGTGGTAGAGAGTTCCATTTGCTGCAAACGAATGGCGCCTGCAGTTGAGACGGCTCTTTTTGAGTGCCAACTTCAGTGAATGTCCTTAAATGAGCATTGGTTGATAGAACCAAAAGAGATCTACATGGATGGTCAGGCTGTTGGAAAATCCGATACAATAAGATCATATCGCCTCTGATTTGGCGATATTGAGACGAGTAGATCCAAGAGCTGTAATCTTTCGCAATAGGTCTTGGAATGTAGACTTTTGACTATCTTGGTAGACATTCTCTGCGGATGTTCAAGTGCCTTCCGATCTCGCTGCAGCCATGGGTTCCAGGCCTGAATTGAGTACTCGATGTATGGACGGATATATGTGGCTAACAGACGTGGAAACAAAGCTCAAACGATCCAAAAACACGTTCGAGCAGTCCAACCTGTTTTACCGCCATGGATGATGCCCTGGAACAGTTTATGGAGCAACTCAAGTCTGTGCGAATGACTACCAGATCCAGATGGAGCATGAGGCAGAGTTTCGTGTCCGAGAGTGCAGGAAAAACGACCAAGGTGACGTAGTGATAAGACTTTACATTTGGTAACGCTGAATTCCATATCATTGGAGACAGACCATCTGTGGGCTTCGTCAATGGCGTTCTAGAGATCAAATGAATCTTCTGGTTTTGTTATTGTCCTTCATATTTTACCTCGTTTGCAAGCAGCAGAGTTTGTGGTCCGAGGACGTCTGGAAGATCATTTATAAAGGCAACCCGTTTCAATCAGTAATAAGTTCCATTCCTAAATGGTATGGATTATCAAACTGCTCACTCTTCGCTAAATTCGTACAGCTGAACCAAACAGAACATAATCCGTTCGTTTGACAAAAGAGATATTTTCAAAGTTAAAAGCTGGTACTGCACTTTTTCGGGCAACCGAAGATTGATTTCGTGATTGTTGTTTTGATTTTTTGACTTATTCACTTCTGCATAGAATACATTCGGTTGGGAGCAATTCAAGTGAACGTGGTTTCACTTGAAGTTTGAACGGTAAAAAAACGTACAGGAGAAAAGACTGCATCATGATGTATAGCATATAAGAGATGATAACGTCGTACACTTTGCATTGAACAATCTCAGCGATCAACAGAAAAGGAAAGAGCCTTATTAATAATGGGCATTGAAGTGATGCGAACATCGCGCCAATACCAGCAGGTCGACCTAACTTAAAGATACTAATAATGTTCATTGCCGTCGAATATTTTTTTCAAATCTGCCGGAAGATGGCTGCAGATTATTCTTAGTGTCCTCACATTGGTCTATGTGCTGGCCAACCGTTAGAATGTAAATTTTTTTAGCTGTAATGCTGTGTAATTTGTGGATGTTCTCTATGCAGCAATAATTTCTCACACTAATTTTTACATGAAATAACTTTTCTGACGATGAGTACCCTCTTCTCAATTTGAAAAGATATCTTTTCAAACGAATGGATTATGTTCTGTTTGGTTCAGCTCTACGGGTTTAGTGAAGAGTGAGCAGTTTGATAATCCATACCATTTTAAAACCATTTATGAATGGAACTTATTACTGATTGAAACGGCTTGATGAAAATGATGTCGTCGTATGCATCAGCGGTATAGAAAGGCCGCCAGGGGCACTTTCCGGAGGCCACGGGCCGGACATAGCCACCCCCAACCTCTTTTGGATCGATTGTGCCGTATTGTCGAGGGCTCTGCCGGTTAGCACCGATTTGTTACACTATTATCTATTGCGGTCCAACCATTTCCGATGAATATAATTTGCCTTTCGGTTTTTTGACGCTATCCAAGGCCTGCCGAGCATGGAGATATCGCAACGTCGATCGAATTCCTCATGTGAGTCACCTTATAGTTAGTGGAACGATCCGCAGTTCAAACTCCACGTGTTTGGCAACCGAGTTAACTCGACAATCAGGATAAACCACGAATACTTTTTTCGGAGATGCGATCGCATCTTCAACTGTGTGCTTGTTTGGTGACCAAAACAGCGACCGCATGCGCCTTAATAAATGGGAGCGTGCTTACATGCTGAGGGTTTTTGCAATATTGATTTTCCCAATTCATCCTTTTGATATTGGATCGATCCATGGTTTTGGGGGTGGCATGTCTATTCGGACCCTAGCAACAATGCGACGTGTAACAATTGCCACGTTGCCCGACACTGTCTCATTTGGCTGTGGCACCCGTCCTATTGGTGCATTTAGAAGACGCCCACTTCGTCTGCCCTAGTGTTGGAGATAGGCAAGACCCCATCATTAATCGATGTGTCATCGTGTGTCTGCGCGCGCACGCAAACACGCGTTCAGCTCCACACACTCGCGCGCACTGACCAATCAGGTGTCAGATCGGTCCATGATGGTCGTGTGCACACTCTACGCACACTGGCCACGCGTCATTTCACACACGGAATCAACCGCGAAACTGTGAGTGTCCCGGGACCTTTCGGGTTTATGATTTCTCTTGACTTTTGTTGCTGTTTTCCTGAGCAGATCAACACCAGTTGATATTTCCATAATCAAACACACCACTCCCTACTATAATGAACGAATGGTAGATTTTTCTTATCGATTTTTGTGGGTGTTTTGTTCTCCCTGAAAAGAAATTATCGGTTGTGAATTATCATTCTTTNAAAAATCACGTGAATACTGTACTGTTGATTCTCCGAGTAGCTTTATCTACCGCCTATTCTCCTTTTTTTGTAAACTGAGATTTCATTGAGGTAGTCTAGTTTGGCGCTTACTTTATCCTTTTTGTTTGTCTTGTTCCTTGTTCTGAAGGCACCAAAGGCTATTTATAGCATTAATTCGATCCGTGGCCCACAATAAACCTGTCAACATCAAAGTCATCGGGTTTATTACTTTTTGTTTTAGGCATGATTAACAATTTAGTTTGTCGGGATTGTTGGTCGAACTGGGCCCCGGTAGACCATTTCAGGGCAAAACAA